AAAGTATTTCCCCAATACTGGCCTCTCACTGGCTACCTCTTAAATTTAAATAAAGTGAGTATGTACATATATATTGCTGCTGTTAGAACAAACACTCGTATCTCCATTTTTGTCTTTTTGCAGTTTTTGACGTAACTTGAAAGTATCCATTGTCCTTTACATTGTGTGCAAATTTTATGATGACTGGACCAACAGAAATGGCCCAAAATCCCTTGGAAAAATTCTGGTTCCATTGACTGACATTTAAAATAGAGTGTGTTTTTTCCTTCTCCTGTAAAGTTCTCATTTCGGAGATACGACGACAGCTATGTTCATATATATGTATATATGTATGTATGTATGTATGTGTATATATGTATGTATGTATGTGTGTATATATATATATATATATATATATATATATATATATATATATATATATATATATATATATATATATATACACATTTTTTTTTTCTTGTACTTTATTGTTTGTGTGGGATTTATGTACCAAAAACAAATATAATTGATTAATAATGGTTAATAATAATAGTTAATAATAATTAATAATAGTTTTCCACACTCTGTATATCCCTTAGATGCCCTCTGTTTAGAAAATAACAAGCTGTTTTTGTTACTTTAAAAGTAAAATATGTAAATATTCTCTGTTCTTATTGGCTGTTCTGCATTGCGCTGCATTCAAAAAACACTCCTTATAACTTCAGCTTGAATGAGTGAGGCTAAACTGCTGCAGGCTGAATCTGTGGATAACTGTAAAAGTGTTGGTTTTTGTGACATCACAAAAACAGCGAATTCAAGCTGGTGTATTGCTGCAGCTTTTATACATGTACTGTATAGACAGTAGAGTGAACAGCATGTTTTGAAACTTTCACAATGTTTATATACTGCATCAAAAGTTTTTCACTATATATGGCAACTTTAAAGCACTACATGGTTTGGCACCTCACTATATTTCAGGCCTCCTGTGGCTTTAGGTCTCTTAGATCATCTAAGCAGTTGCTTTTAAATTTTCCACAGTCGAGACTGAGGTCTTAAATATTCCATGGCCGATTGAGATTGAGGCCTTCTCTGTTTTGGCCCCTACAGTGTGGAACAGTTTGCCACTTTCTATCAGGTCCTCCTCTACTCTTGATATTTTAAATTCTGCTTGAAGACTCATCTTTTCTTCATGGCTTTTGCTTCCGTCTAAGGTCTGTGGTGTCCCAAATAATAATTATGTGTTGTCTGATTTGTGCAGACCTGTTTTTGATGCTTTTATTTGTTTGTATTTTTATTTTTGCACTGCTTTAGCTATTGTTTATTATGTTATTTGTATTTTATATAAGTTATTGAATCTGTTTGGACTTGTTTGAACTTGCTGTACAGCTCTTTGGCCAATGCTTGTTTTGAAATGTGCTTTATAAATAAACTTGACCCGACTTGACTTGTGTTAAATGTTGCACCACGTTTTTGGGGGTGCCATATGTTTTTTTTTTCCTCAATTAACACACGACTGTGATGAGGATTGATATTAAACATAACCTGGATGACATACCTACTTACATCTTATTCAGAGCGACTTAAAAAAGTAAACTGTTATGTCTCAGTGCATATGTGCATAGGTACATTTGTCTGTGCGTGGGTTGCAGGTGTTTACGTGCATGAGTTAGTCAGAAATCCTCAGAAAAGCTTCTGTAAATGCAGCAAATTAAGCTACGTTTCATTTTTAATAGATGCGTCAATACCATTTCTTTTTGGTACGGAGCTTAAGGTTAGGCTTAGGTAGTTATGTAAATATAATACACATGAGACTTTAATATTACAACCACACAACAAAATGATATTTTTTCATTTCTTTAGTAAAGAAATGGTCCTATATACAACCATGAACACTCGAAGAAACCTTTGTATGATTGAAGAGTTCTTTGCATCGTAAAAGGGTTCTCGGAGAATGTGCAATAGATTAACCTTTTTGTGATAACCTTCTATTATTACAAGCTTGACATTGTAACAATAGAAGAATGCTTTCTGGTGCTATATAGAAAAAAAATGATGATTTGGGGAAATTACACAGATCCGTCATGAACTGGCCAGTCAAATCATGCACAAATTACATTATCAGAGCTCCTCTGGGAGAACTAACCCAGGTCAAATAGGGCTTAAGACCCAACATTTGAGGTGTTAAATTATCCCTGCAGACCTCTTTGAAAAACTAAAATCAAGTCTCCTGAAAAGAACAGAAGCTGTACTAAAGCTAAAGATGCCTTTCAAAAATATATGAATAAAATATAATGTTATCCCTAGTTGTGCTTTTCTGTTAAATATACCTTTTTATTTATTCATTGAAAAATTAATAACTTCTAATTAATGGTTGTTTGCCTGGAAATTAAATGAATGGAAGGCAGTCTCTGACCTATGTGCAGTACTGTATATCTGTCTGTGTGTGTGTGTGTGTATGCATGTGCGTGTGTGTGTGTGTGTGTGCGTGTGTGTGTGTCCATCAGAAATGTACTCAGTCTCAGACAGCGAGTCCACACAATAGTGTCAGTCTCAGCTGCTGTCAGTGAGCTGTAGAGTCCAGCTCTGCTAATGGTGGCGTATCTTTCCTTTTACCTTTACACCCCTCCTCCTCACCCAATTTCTCTCTCTTTTGGGATGGAGTGACATTCAGGCATGAGTCAGAGAAACGGGCAGTCAGTCTCTCTCTCACTCTTTCTCTCTCTCTCTCTCTCTCTCTCTCTCTCTCTCTCTTGCTCTCTCTCTGTCCCTGTAGCTGGCTGTGTTGCTGCTGCTGCAGTCTACAGGGACATGAAGTCTTCTTTGAACTCCCTCTGAATCATCATACAGCCATAGGAGAGTTTCATAAAGGGACATGGCATTCACAGCCTACATCACTAGCCAAAGAATCTTCTGCTATGAGCACAGAAGGGGAAATACTCAATGTTTTCTAGCTCAGATTTGTGGGTTTACCCCTTTAAGCCTACATTGAAAAGTGGCATAAAGTTGGACGAACTTGGTATATCACCTGATGACTGACATGCTCTGATTTATCACAAACATTTAAGACTTCTCAGGTGTCATGTAATTCTGAATGCAATTATAAACACGAAAATAAGGTGCGTTCACCTTTAATGGAGTAAAAACACTGACACCACCACCTCTCTAAAAAACACCATGTATAATATAAGTCTTCCATAGAAAAATCACACCGTGACTGGTATCAGTGAAAGCTCAGCTTCTCTGGTTGAAAAGAGATTTTAAAATGGGTTAATTTGTGAAAGTTTTAAGAAAATTAGTCATGAATGTCAGCCATGTACAGTCTTAAGGTCAAACACATTATCAGCATGTGATTATTTGCTGATATGACTGCACCAGAATATAACATCGTTCAGCTCTGAGTTGAATAAATCTGGTAGAATTTGACCATATACTGCTTTGATTCAACTGTAATGTTACCCTGCATGCACACCACTGCTGATTCAATAACTTGGCAACACCTGTCCAGCAAGTGATTGGTTGCTGGTGGGCCTTCCACACCAAGCTCATGCATGCAGCAAGCTTGACTGAATGAAAATTACTTTTTAATGGGTATTTTAAAAGAACAGGAACTAATATAAACTAGCAGTCAGCCTACACAGGCTATATTCATTCACCACATGACACAAATTGATAATATCGATCTTCTTTCATTTTTTTCTTTGAAATGCATGCTCTGTCTGACGAGGGGGCGTACACTTAATTTGTTCTTAATCTCAAATTGTAAACATCACTTTCTAAACAGATTTCTGAAAGCATTTTCCACACATACTACATTACCTGTTTTCCCAATTTTTTTCCCCAAATTAGATGCATTTAATTCCAGCTTCTGGTTAGGATTCCCCAAATCACATGATACCACCAGTGCTAGGAGGGCGAAAGCTAGCACAGGCTTCCTCTGAGACATGTGAAGCGCCACCGCATCTTTTCGAACTGCCACTATTGCAACGTCATGGACAGCTGAATGTGCTCGAAAGAAAGTGCCAACCGCCAGTTCTGTTATGTCAGCTAACAGATGCCTGCACTGAGTGATGGGGTAAACGAGGCAGGGCATCCTACCCACCCAGAGAGAGCAAAGCCAACTGTGCTTTGTTGGACTCCTGGCCACGGACAGCTGTAGCATCAATAGGGATCGAACTCACGATTTCCTGATGATAGGGCCAATGCTTAGATGGGTGTACTGCTTGGGAGCCCCCATATTGCATTATCAATGCATTGATGAAAAACAGTTAACCTATAGCCTGCAGCTATAGCTCATGATTAGGCAAAGCTATCAGTTTGCTAGTAAGGTAAAAGGTTCAGTATCATGCTCATCATAGAAATCAAAGAACCAAGGTCAATGTAGCACTGGGACTGGAGAATATCTTTTGGTACTGGTTATCACTGTACCACATCATTGCTTATTTGCATAAAGTTAAGTTGAGCTCAACTTCATTGCGTTTCTCAGATAGTGTCTGGCATGCTGGGATAGATGACATGATCTTTGAGTATTTTCTCAAATATGCAATGAATTTTCTCTTATAATGTAAGTCACAGAAACTCTGTCATGGCTTTGTAGCTCTGCCCTTTCATCACTGTAGTCGCCTGTGTCTTGTTAGTTCTGTATGTATTAAAAGCACTAGGTTTGTTCTTGCTGTGTGTTGACTTTATTGCATCCCTAGTTTGTAGCTTCTATTTCCTTGTATTGTTTTTCCAGGAGTTCCTGGTTTTGACCTCTATAACCTTCTTATTTTTGGATTTGGACTTGCCGATACTGACCGTGACTGCCTGCGATTTGACCTCTGTTCTGAATTATGACCACAATTCCTGGCAAAGGCAAATAACCTTGACTCCCAGCTACATCCTATTGCCTGTACCTCCTGTTTGTTACAAAACAACACCTAATCAAGAGTTATTTCAACAATTATTTAGCTTTTAGAAAGTGTGCTATCACTATAAGTTCTCTGCAGCGAGCTTTACGATGTTTGGTGGTTAAAAACACTTACCATTATAATGAAGGCAACAGGGCCGATGAAGCTCCAAATGAAGTGGTTATCAACCCTCAGCCAACAGCTGCAAAACAATAGATGCAAATCAGTCATTGCTGATGCAATTCAGCTTCAGAACTTTCTCCTAACAGATAAACAGACTCTTTGATAACAGGCAAGCAAAAGCAAAAGAACAAAACCCGCATCAATACGAATCCCTCTCTTCATCTTCACTCTTCTTTTGAGACTGAGCTAAGCTTGCAGTGTCTGCTCCACATACGCACCTATGCAGCTCTGATTAAGAATTCATACCGAGTAAGGAATGATTTATGTGTGTATTACAGATGCTATCTGCATTTGAATCCAGCCTGATGCGAAACTGTACATCACAAGGGATTCTTTCAGAAAAAGAGATGAACAAGTAAAGCAATTTAGAACCCGATCTCAATCAGGTGCCTTTGGAAAGGAGCTGAGTCGGCACGCAAAATCATTACAGTCACAGTTTGCTTAGAGCTTGTTTCTCTTCCCCGCGTCGGAGTGGAGATTTGCCAGGAGGGAGCGACAAAATATGCTCTGTCTGTCTCATTAACACACGTACACAGGTTTGAGCTGAGAGAAACTGTTTCTTCTCAGCTAGTGGCTCAGCTTTTATACCGGTGGCCTTATAAAAGCCCCGGTATAAAAAGGTTTAGCATCCAAAAAATGGAATTAGAAAAGCAGCTGGAGCCTCATTACTCTGGATGTCCCTCAGTTGTAACAAATAGCGTATTTACTCCCTTAAACTCTGAGCTTATTAAACAGATATTAATTTTAAAATGTATTTTGCATGTGCTGTTATGAATTATTCAGTAACTACAAATAGTGGGTGAATGGGGCGGGTGATATTTGATTGAAGCTGGAACAGACAAAAAAGAACCACTAGTGTCACAATTAAAAAATACCACCAAATCTACAAATACAATGATTTCTATTCAATGTTTTTCATACTACATAAATCCAATTAAAGATGACTAATTATTCTGTTCTCTAAAGGGATACTAAAATTTTCATTGTATGTTATTTTTCCAATTAATGTTGGGTTTTTGTGTTCATTTATATTTATATGAACATTTTCCACCCTCTCTTTATCCCTTACAATTAAATGAGCTGTTTTTATAACAGGCAAAACAATTTACCTGTGTTTTTAAGGCTTTTAAGACTGATGTATGTAAATAGGCTCTGTTCTGATTGTCTGCCCTGTATTGCACTTTATATAAAAAAGCATTCATTCAAATGTAAATATAAAATTAGAAAAATAACATCTTTCTGCAAATTGTAGTACATAATTGCTATTTCCAATGTGTTCGATTCAAAAATTAAAGTGAAACAAAATTGTGCATTCTCCCCTTTTAGCCTGCTCTTCAATGGTCAGGACCCCCACAAGACCATCACAGAGCAGGTAAAATTTGGGTGGTGGATCATTCTCAGCACAGCACTGCTGTGTCTGATCCACTCACACGAGTGCAACACACACAAACACGCCACCACCATGTTAGTGTCACTGCAGTGCTGAGAATAATCCACCACCCAAATAATGCCTACTCTGTGGTGGTCCTGTGGGGGTCCTGACCATTGAAGAACAGGGTGAAAGGGGGTTAACCAACATGCACAGAATCAGATGGACTACAGTCTGTAATTGTAGAACCACAAAGTGCACCTATATGTAAGTGGAGCTGATAAAATGGACACGGAGTATATTGAATTGATATCGAATTGTAGTGAAGTTTGAGATTTCATAAGTACTGAACTGTTTCTTAAGTAATCATAACTGAGCTGAAGCATTGTGAGGTCACAGATTCGCACCCCTATTGCGAATGTCTGCATGAACACGGAGGAAAAGGTCACTCACGCTGTGGCGGTCCCGTAGCTCCGGTAGTCGATGGCTGTCGAAATGCCCACCACCACGGCTGGGAAGAGGTATCCGGAGGCGTAGTAATACTTCCTGCGCGAGAACTCGCTCTCAAACACTTCCACCAGCATGAGGTAGAGCTGCACACTCTCCAGACACAACCAAGCGAACGCCGCCAGGAAAAAGAAATGCAGCACTCCAGCAACGACCGAACACACAATCTGCTTGCACAGAGAGAAAAAACAAGACCGACAGGCAGAAATATTGTTAAACAAAAAAAGGAAAGGAAAAACATCAGTTACAGAAAGCCAGCGCTGTTCCAAGGAGTTTATCACACAGACACATGTCCACATTTTCATAACATACTGTTTCAATTTGCATAGTTGGACAGTGAATTTATCCACAAGAGTTTTTGCCTAGATCTGTGTTCATTATCAATGTAGTTTTTCTTCTTTCCTGTGATTCTGATTCAAAACATTGTCAATATGTTTGGATTTCGATGAGCCGACCTTCTCAACTCAGATGAATGTTAACATCAACATTAATAGATGCTGTCAGATTATGAAAAAAGAGCCTCATACATAGTGAACATTATCTACAGCAGTGTGTACTATAGAATATTTTATTGTTATCCTCATACATTCAGCAATTCTAGAACACTGAACAACTGCTTGTATCTTAAAAAGACATAATATGAAATTCTATTATTTTATTAATGTATAGTATTATAGTAATCAGTACCTGACCTCCCTACTGCTCTTGTGACTGAATGCAATCAAATCCTCACAGCAATGTTCCAACATCTAGTGTAAAGCCTTCTAAGAAAAGTAGAGGCTGTTACTGCAGCAATGGGGAGATTTCCTCTTAATATCCTTGATTTCAGAAGATTTCTAAGAACATTATACATAAGTCAATCCACTTTCATAGGAAAAGAAAATAGTCTAAGAAATATCAGTGGAAATAAGTTTCCAAACTGGAAACTAACTACCATGCAAGACCACCTCCCAGACCACCAAATCTGTCAAAAAATTGCAAATCAGAGTCCAGACTTCAACATCACTGAATGTGTCTGGGATTTCTTGGATTGTGACCAACAGAACATGCAACTAACTAAGACTGAACTTTGCAGGTGTGGAAAAATAGTCCTGTTTATTCAGATTTTTGGCATCTGTTCTGTCTACAAATTGTCCAAATTGTACAAATTGTGCCAATTGTTGCTGCCCAAAGAAAAATGTCTCCAAAACAGTAACACTAACAAGAAAAGGCAAAATTGTTCCTGACTTAAGTTGTAAGTTAATGTACAGAGATTCAAAGTGGTTTTTGGAAGATTTCTATCGATTCATTCCTCATCAAATTTTCACATGATGGGACAACTGCTGAGCTTCAAAAAGAAAAGGAAAATGGAGATGTTTTTCTTTTGGCAGTAACAATATGAATCAGTCATGTTTCTTTTTATGTCCTGCACAAATTGAATCACGACGTTACTAAACCGCATTCACAGCTTTGTTTGCCTACCGGAGCTCCAGTCATGTCGATGCCCACGAGGAAGAAGAGCTCAGCGATGAAGAGATTAATGCACAGGTTCTTGTGGATGGTGTTGCGGTCACACTGCAGGCCACGGAAGAAACAGAAGGTGAAGATGCTAATGGCCAGACAGACGAGGGAGACGGCGATGCCCATCCGCTTGATCACATTCAGCAGCAGCTCATGGACACTTACATCACCCTGAAACACACACACAGCAAACATCATCATAAATGCTCACATTGCAGATTCACTCTCACAATGGTATTGTACACAAACTGGCTATGTGTGCATGTATATGTCTGGTATTTTGTTTTGTATTATCTGGTTATTCTTGTTTGCTCTGTCATTTTTATTTGCGTATTAGAAAAGCATGATGTACCTTATCACCTTATACCTTAGCAACCACCTAAGATACCATAGCAATGGCCTAATAATAGCCTAGCAACCACCTGGAACACCATAGCAACCACCCTATGTACCACAGTAACCACTTAGCAACACCATGGTAGTAACTTGGAACACATTAGCAACCACCAGAGACCTCATAGCAGCCACTTAGAACACAGTGGCAACCACTTGGAACACCATAGCAACCACCAGAGACATTATAGCAACCAATTATCAACAACCTAACAACAACCAGAGATACTATATTAGCTAGTAATATCCTAATGACCACCTTGAACACCATAGCAACTGTCTACTAACACCCTAGCAGCCACATGGGAGATCACTATGCACTCTCTTAAGGAAATGTACTTTCTCATTATCTTGACATTTAAATCTAAAGACTTGTGCTTAAGTGCTTGAACTCTGTTTCTAACAAGCAGTTTTCAGTATTCAGCAAGGTCTCAGCATATGTGAAACTCTTCAAATCTGTTGGGAAAACGTCTCAGGTGGCTCCTTATGAAGCTGCTTGAGAGAATACAGAGAAGGGGCTACTTTGAGTAATCTGAAATAAAGGACAGTTTTGACTGACCATTTTTTGCTTATTGCATAATGTCCTAGTTATGTATTCACTTAAGTAAATATAAGGAAAAACCCTTTACGAGTAGGAAATGTTTTGACTGGTACTGTATATAGGAATCACAGCCTTTTTCATACATAGTCAACAACATACTAACTTGCTTTATTTGTAATGATAAGCTTTTAATGTTTTGCTATTTTGGGGACAATTTGTATATATATATATATATATATATATATATATATATATATATATATATATATAGGACATGTACTTTTAATGTTCTTAGCAACAAATCATTACAAATAAAGCAAGTTAGTATGGGACAGCCATTCCCTTTGATTTCTTTAAATGTTTATGCTTTGTGTGTTAATTTGGAGACAACTTTTTATAGAAAGAAGAGTCAGTATTTTTCTCTTCATCACTGATGGCTTCAAACATTGCCAAGTTAGTTTATGCTTAATGTAAGACCAAATGTTCTCTTTAGGTTTTAAATCTGGACTCTGACCAGGTCACAGCTATCAGTAAAAACATTACTCATAAATATAATTGTCATGTTTAGTAATATTACAATGTATAGACAGCCGTTCATTTCCAGACTGCACTGTATTCACAACCACTACTAAAGTGCACACTCACTGCCTCAGTGCTCCATTGCCCTATATTCACTGTGACATTCTCTGCACCGTCATCACTAATGCCCCTGAATCCTGCACCACCACATTAATACATGTTACTGGTACAGGCTCAACACTAACCCTAGCTATGCTATCAGCATTTGCAGGTACGTGTTCCCCTTCATACACGCACACACACACACACACACACACACACACACACACACGCTCCTTCAGTGCTAACTGTTAACACTTCCACTAGCATCACAGACTCAGGGATAATGCTCGTACTGACAGTCAGCTAATGACTCTCACCATTAAATCAGACACTGTCCATACCTTCACTGCAAACAGCCACATTCAACCCCATCATTAGCATCACTGTTATCACCCATATTACACTCCTTCACTGCTAACATCTACATTCTGTACTGAAACTGTTAACCCTTAAAAGCCTCTGTCAATCACAAAAGCATGTTGTAATTTTACATTAATTATTTTTTATTTGTAGCTCATTGAAACAAGCAGAGAAAAGAAGAGGAGACTTTTTATGATGAAGAGTTATTGTTGTTGAAAGACTAAACATCTTTCACATTTTTGTGAAAAGATTCTGTTGTTCACATTTCTATCATTCTATTGGTCTTGAATCTGTTGGTGATGTACGAACATCAAATGCAAACATAATTCATTATAAAAACACCAAAGTAATTAGAAAATTACGTGTTATCTACCATTTTATAATTAAATAATCTGTCAACAACAATATATACTTTTACATGTCATTTTCAATATTTCAAGTCATGTGCACAAGTTTTAACACCAAAACGACATGCTTTGTTGATTTTCTAAGAGAAAATAAGATAACACATCCTCTACAGAGAACACACTTAAATATGGCATTTTCTATTGTAGTGCACAAATATCTTTTTATTTGCTGAGTTTAACATTGTGGAAAAATATAACATAAAACATAAAATATCTTTCATAAATTTTGCAAAGGTGATTTTTTAACATGTTAAATTCAGCAAATTATCAGTAATTGTGCATTAGAATGTGTAGACTTGTATTCTCTGTGGAGGTTGTGTTCAGGCTTGGTTTCACACAGTCAAGCAACAAAATGTAATTTGACTGGGGTGCCAAAACATTTGCATACAACTGTATTTTGGAAACAACAAGAGATTATCCAAGGATAAACAATATACTGAAATGATCTATTTGTAGCATTTTTTTACATCATCTATAGTTCTGTTCATTATACTGGACTTTTATTTATTTACTTACTTGCTTGCTTACTTACACCTTCTTACTAAGTGTGTATAGTTATAAAAACTTGCACAGAACCAGTATATTAGAGTCACTTTACGTTATTTCCATCTATCTCCCACCATTCTGTTATTTTATCTTTGAAAACTTTGAACTTTTGAACAGTAGTGTTATTACATTCATGCTGTACAGCAAAATGCCAATAATAACTCTAGAGCTCTATGGGTTAAAATCCCTATTTCACTACATAACCACTAACACCAACTTTCCAAGCACCAGTCAGGAAATTATGGGTGAATACGGCTGAAAATTTAGCATGACGGCACAGACTGCTGTTTTCAGTCATTTACAATTATTCACCATCAGTGATGTTCATTTACCATGACGTGATCAAACTACCCGGTGACCAGCAAAGACTGACTCAACATTCTTTTCAAGTTGAAAAAGTCACGTTGCCAGAACGCAACAACTAAATGCTGTGCCGTTTTAACTCAATTGAATAAGTGTAGTGACTTTAGTTGAAACAGATACTGTGGTGGAAATAGTACAAAGGAAAAACTGAGCACAATAGAACAGAAGGTAATTATTACAATGCAAAACTAAAGTTTCAAAGCATTTGAAGAGGGGTCCAGAATTTCATGAGCTGAGTTAATTCATTACTCAAAGCTGATTTCATTCCAGCTTATTTCATTCTTGAATTACTGCACAGTGCAGACTCGAGCTGAAACGCAAATCTGGCTTTTACTCCTTGATTAAATTTGTGTCATGGCAAGCCCGAGCAGTTTTGAGGTCAGCACGGGGGTGATGTGTTTGCGGCCCACGCTTTCAAAAGGCGGGATTATAATTGTGGTTAATGTTACTGCTAGCATCAAGCGATGGATGGGGTAGAGTTCATGGGGCAAGACATATAATTACCTTCACCACAAACCCCATGTTTCCACATTCATTACTGGCTAAATGCTAGCTGCTTATGATATTAATCATGTAATCGTGCCGTAATTGTATTGCTCTCATAAACGCAGTCCCCGGCGTACTTAGCCAGGTCTGGGTTGAACGGCTATGTATGTTGCTGTTCACTGGGTGAGTTTCATGTTCAGGAACATGTGTCCTTGCTGGCTTTCAGCCACAAGCTGTAAACACAACTTGTTTCAATGAGTTTTTAATGCTACCCATTCCCCATTTCATCCAAAAATGTTTAAACTCTGCCAGCATCTGTTGAAAGTCATCTCGCTGAACCTCCTTCATCAGTTTGTTGTTGATAATCTGATCATTATGAACATGTGGATAGTTTGACATGACCCTTGGAGGGAAGCAGTTGAGAAAACCCTTAAAAGATGCAGTTATGATTAGCGATACAAAAGCATGAAGTTATGTTATATTATTTATTACTTACTCATAGCTCTTTGAAATAAGTGGAGAAATTCTGCTGAATGTCCAGAACCTACACATTCAATTAATACCACATTTGTGTTTGCAAGTAGGAGAGAAAATATTATATTATGATTTAGATATTGCTGTGCATTGGCTTATTTTGCAGCAAAAAAAACATCCACAACATTTTTGCCATGATTTTGTCATTTCTTGACTTTGAAAAAATGATAAATGCAGAACTGAACCTTTTAAATCAGAATGAAATTCAAATGTAAATGTAATTCAGTTTATTACTATGTGTTTAACTAAAAAAATGTAATTGCATTGAAATAACTAATGCTTTTTGGTACTATGCAGAACCATTTTTTTTTAAATGGTTCCTCGAAGAACTGTACACACAACAGGTTTCCATCATAGAGAGGAATCATTTAACCTTGAGTCGTCAATGTTCTATATTTAGTCATCGCCTTTACTAAAGGTACCCTGGAAGGACCCCTTTTAATGGGGCCTACACTACCTAGAAGAAGACTCGGTCATATGTTGCATGATGCATGGTAACTAGGTGAACCAGTAAACTCAGTAACTAGGTAAAGCAAAGGTTGCTCACCACGTGTCCTCGGTGGGCCATGAGGATGGCAAAGTTGGTGAGGTGACTGCAGGAGCAGGTGGTATGAGTTTTATTCGTGCCCAGCAGTTTGCAGCCCTGAGTGGACCAGTATCCCATCATGCTCCTCTCAGAGTAGTTCCAGAAGGAGCAGTTTGGGTTGAAGTAGTTCTCCGTCTGAAAAGACAATCAGAGGAACATTTTATCAGTAAGAGACAAAAGTGCACTGTAGAGCTACAAAAAGAAATAGCAGTCATGTTGAATTTTGTCCATGTTTACAGATAATAGTGTATGATACAGTGTCAGAAACCACATGAGCATAAGCAACTCAGTGTGATGTGAAGCAAGTGTGTGATGATTAAGTTATTCAATTTGCACATTATTAGTTGGTTGAAATGTATTTCTATTACTTGTTAATCACATAATCCTTAAATAATTAATTAAGTAATCCTTAAAGCTCGTTTTAAACTAAAAACACCAACCGAGACCTTAAATATGCTTCTAACAGCAAGTGTGACTATGGTCAGACTGCACATGTATATTTATTAGTGTACACAGTTTATGCTGGGTACCGCACAATGAAATCTTGATGTGCCTGAGTTTTCAGTCACATCTGCCTCTATGGCCTCAGGTAAAAAGTCTAGCTATGGTAATTAATGAGTACTGGCATCCATAATCACAAGGCAACAACATGCCCCGGGTTTTTATACCATCACAGATGTACGTGAATTGATTCATGCTACTGACTTAAGCAGAGATTTCCTCACATTCTTACTGAATTTGATGGCCCAACATTCAAATGAATGCATGCATATCTCTAATAAACGCTGTCCTTGGTCTGTCCTTTTATTTCCCAGTGTCATAAACAGAGCATAGAACATAGTTGCTTGAGTGAGGCTTAAGTCAGCTTAGTATAGCTGTACACATGGGTGTAATGTTTTGTAAAGTGCAGGGATGAAGACCGAGAAAAAATACAAAAGTGGTCCATGGCTGTGGTGGTGGTTTTGCTGTATGATGAGCAGCAGGCAGTAAACACACTGTACAGAGCTGCTCTTTTTAATAACATTTCTCCTGAGAGTTGAGAGAGTCTGATAAGTTTCATTTTCAGTGTCTCAGTGGGCACCATCGAGGGCACACGGACGCACAGCAGATGCATCGCGTGGCATCTTGCCGCACAAAGCCATGCAGCATCACATAGTACAGCGCTACTAAAGAATATCGACTGGGACAGCTGGTAAATGTCAAGTTCAAGTTGTACCTCAGCTGTAAAGCTGAGGTAACCGAACATTAGCATTTCTGTGTATTTAAAATACTGGCTGTCATTCTCTGTGTAAACGTCAGACAACTGTATACAGATTATAAGAAAGATAAAAGCTGAGGAAAAACATTGTTTATGAATATAGCTTTGGTCATTCAAATTGGGAAACTTGGGAAAAAAATAATAAAATCAAACTCCCTATCGTGATATCAGAGATCAAAGTGATCACAGACATTATTTAAGTATTATAAACTGAAATTGTTTAAAAACTATTTTAAACAAACTATATACTAAAATCATTTCACCACAAGTATTGTACTGAAAAATCTTTTATTGAATCAATTTAGTTTCTTATAACGGCAAAAATCAACTACAATATAAATACATAAGAAATTATCACCAGCACTACAATGTTTATTACTCAGTGGGAGTCTGTAGCAGCCTCTAGGCTATGTACTTCCATTGTGATTTTTTAAAAAAGATGATAATCATCCTGTATGTGATCATCAGAATAGCTAAAATTTGGTAAAATTTGAGGTATGTCATTAAAGCCGTTGACCATCCCATCCCTAACTGTCAGCAGTAATACAAGTATCAGCAGCACAACTACAGCACCACTATCACACTTACATCAAGATGTTCCAGGGTGAAGATGACCGGCTCGGACACAAAGACGCGGCTGGACTCTTTGTTGATGGAGGCGGACAGGATATGGGAGTTGACCGTCAGGGTGTGGTTCCTGACCCCACCCTCACCCACCAGCCTCAGGGTGGCGTTCTCCGTAGTCAAGAAGCGGCCCAGGTGCTTATACAGCACAAAGACCAGCTTCGCAACACCTGCGGCACAACAAGAGGAAACCACCAATCAGAAAGAAAAGACAGAGGCTCAATGAACATATAGATGATCCCTGAGAGCAAAGAGGTCTTTTCACTGAAAGGATCTTAATCCACTTTAATGCCTGCTAATACTACAAGCACTGCAGGGTCATGCATGTAAATTATGGTCTTAAAGAAAGCACCTAGACTGGTTGTACTTTTGTCGAGTTAATTGAGCAGTAAAGCACTCATAGCCCCCGAGCTGCTTGTCATAGGTGTGATATTTCAGACAATCCTGTGCAGCTGTGGTTTTTTCAAAGAAATGTTCACAAACACTGTTTCTGTCATGTGAGAACTTATTCCATTTTTATTTGAAAAATGCTAACTGCCATTTATGTTATGTGAACTTTCACACTGAACGGGCCAAAAGAAATGGGTCAGATGTGGAGTAAAATCTAAGTACATTCAAGGGGAATTCCACTTCTTCACAATGGTTTCTCTACAGTGGTGATAGGAATCAGGGGATGAGATGTCTCCAGCACAAACATAGCCATTTTATTTAGTATCCAAAACCACCAGTGAACCTGCACATGCCTTTTGAGATTGTGTATGTTGATGATGTTTAAAAACAAACTTTCTTTGGGGACTATTTTGCCTTACAACACCTTGCAAGTACTTCTCCACCACACATATATTTAAAATTTTATGCCAAAAAGCTTCTCAAAACTATCGCAAAACAATGTCTTCAACGTCCATAACCATTTCATGTAATAACTTTCTGTGGTGAAGTTTTTAGAAGGATTAAGTGCTATAGATGTCTGGTTCCTATCACCACAACTGAGTCTGTAAGTTTCTCTATAATGGAACATTTCACCTCAAACCACTCTTCATGACTTAACACTTGAATTATGCTGACATTTTGCTACACTTATTGAATTGATCTTGACAGTACACTGAAATTTAGACCATTTTCTTCCTTCTCCTCTAAAGTTACAACTGCTGACATATTATTATTTTTAAAGACATCAAGGAAAAACAAATACATAATCCCTACTTTGTGGGATAGAGCTCAAAACACAAAAGATGAAGTCAAAGACGTAGGCTACGGCATCACCCCCTAATCCTGTGAGCTGAAGTTCATGTTAAACCAGTTGTTGCCTTTCAAAAGGTCCTTTCACTAAGCCTCTGAAACCTCATTATTCCCTCACTCACCGTTCTTGCTGTTGAGTTTGACGGTGTTGGCGGAGAGCTGGATAGTGGCTCCTCCTTTGCTGCTCTGTGGGAACTTGAAGTCTTGAACGTGGCCGTCAGTGCTCAGCACGTACACGTCCAACACTGCAAGAAGTGGGAGAATAAAGGAGAGACAAGCAAGGTCATCTAGTGAGGTCAAAATCTACAGTATTTAAAAGGAAATCTGATTAGTAGACAAAGATGCAGAACCATGGAGCTGATAGAGTGTTTATATTGAGGTTATTTTTAAATGGTGTTTAACCCACTAGACTCTAAGAGCTCACATTAGAGGTCATTTACCTGAGCTAAGCCCAAAGGGGCCTGATAAAATCTGGGATTCAGGCCAGGTTCTGGCCGACGTTTTAGCGTCCAACTTCGTGCTTAGGTCAGGCTAGGGTTCGTTTTGTAATGAATGACTGTATTATGCAGTAGATATGGTGTTATTTGAAAGAATATGCCTACATAAATTCCGCTCACTCTCTCCTGCGTGCTTCTCTCTCTCTCTTCAGCATTGCCTATATGCACAAAGTACTGCTGACCTTTTTCCACGGTAGAAATAAAAAGAAAGCCTGCCTAAGGGGAACTGTTTAAAATTTCAAATTAGTTAGGGATGTCTTCATTGTGGAAACATTATGACCTGGTCATCAGATAAAAAGCACACTAGACAGGTACAAGACAATGCTTGCAATACTGTATTTTGACCTATGATAGCAGGAGGACTGGCATGTCATTTCATCAGTGACACACTGGCCATACATGCAGACATTCGGCAGCAGCGCAAGCAGGTTCGGGAGGGGTTTTTCAAATTAAGCAGTACCAGTCAGGCTTTGCCGGGTTAGGTCCTATAGCTGCATGTGCAATTTCATACTAGTGCAGATCTCAAGTCCATACCTTAGTCCCCTGCTCTCAACTACATACTTTACATAGTACTTTTCTAATAGATACTGAATAACATGTCTTAGGCTTCATAACTGAAAAGCAAACCTACATTTAATATACATACACTTTTATTTTGTGAAATAAAATGATTATTTTTATTTTCTTGTTTGAAACTGCAGGCAGTTTAAAGTGGAGCACTGATTTTCAGTGCAAAGTAAGTTTGAGGTGAAGTGAACTCTCAAATGGCACCTGGTTGTTATTTATTTACTAATGACCGTGACAACCTAAGATTCATATTTTATGTGTTTACTAGAAGAGAACCCTATAGGGCCTTCTAGACTTTTAGAAAAGGTCTAATGATTTCTGGGAACTAAAAAAATATATGTCTATAATTTGTACCTTATTTTTCTTGAATAGAATCATTATGTGGTACCTTAAGGTACCTCTCCCACTGGTTAAGACATCAGGAGCTGACCTGAAGGTCTAATGTAATACCAACAAAATTAGGAATCAACAAAACATGTTTTGATTTACAATGGGTGAGACCATTAGGAAAAAAACATCAATCTAGGTCCTAAACACTCGCTGACTGTGAACACCAGACAGGTTTTAGTTAGTTGTTATAAATAGAAAAAGAGTGAGTAGCTTTAGGACAAGGCTCTTTACCGAAAGATACAAGGTAAAATATATGTTAAAGTCTGTTACAAGCTTCAAGTATGACATGACATGTCTACTACAAGCTTGAACTGTCTAATTTATACAGCCAAAAATGTGCATTGCATTGGCTTAGTGCTAACATACTACTAGAAATGCCATAGGTGCCCTAGCAGAAATTGGCATTACTGTGAAAGTGAGTTTTTTCTAATTGTTTTGACCAAATTGTCATATTTGTAGATTACTGTGTCACCATTTGAATGCAAATCACATTTACTACTTGTTTACTGACAAGCCATGAAAACATCAATCCATTTTAAGGTTGTAAACACACATTATGTGAGTCTTAGTGAGGATTCTCCATTGAAAATCACTCGTAGGTTTAATCTCTGCCCTGACAGCTGCCCTTTACTGTATTTGAGGTCCCATGGTTGCAAGAATGTTGATAAAATGATCTATTTATACATTATATATATTTCTGTTAATGCAATCCTGAAAGGTTTGGAGACAGCTATGCTGACCTACTCTCTTTTTCAGGCACAATCCCTGTAAAGCATTACTCGGATATAACTGCATCCACCACTGTGTGCTGAAAAGAAAGATACAGAGCGTTTACTTATCCAGGGAGAGTAGCCGCTGGAAGAAAACATACACACACACACACATTCACACACCCAAACGTATACCCAGAGTACCTGCTAGCGTGTGAATGTCAAATATAGCCGAGATCAAACCTATCACTACACTTTTACTGCGCTTCCCCCTGTGGCTGCCGATAAGTTTGTGGCTTCAGCCTGAGCTGATTGAGGCCCAGACGGAGCGCCGCTCCAGACCATTCACACTTCACTCTCCCTTTGATGTATGAAAATATAGCGAGGTCAGGCGCTAGCATTAGCGCTAGCTCCCTCCTCTCTCCTCCAGACAGTTCACACTCGCTGTCTCTCTCTCTTTCTCTCTTTCTCTCTCTCTCGCTCTCTCTCTCCAGCCTGCTATTTTTCGGCAGTTAGAAATAAGGGATTTTTTTGCCTTTTGCTTCTTCACTCTCGCTTTTCTTTAGGCACCCGCTTCAGTCAGTCCTTGAGCGCTTACCTTGTGTTGTGGTTGGAGCTAAATTATGCTAATTGCCATTGAGAGACACAGGAAGAATGAGGGAGGAAGGGAGGGAGAGAGGGGCGAGAGAAAGTAGAAAGAAAGAAGGAAGGGAAGAAAAAAAGAGAGACAGAGTGGATGGCTTGAAAAAAAGAAAAAGTTCCCTAATGCGCTCCAGGGCACATTCTGTCAGCCGTACAGCCAGCGGGCACCAGCCTGCATTGTTACCACATCTTACGCTCCTCAAATGAAGAAGTGGAGAGAGACAGAAAAGGCAAGTAGGAGTGTGTGGTATGTGTTTGAGGTGTGTGTGGAGTGGAGGGACATGGATGGGTGAAGATGGAGGCAGAAAAAGTGAGTAGAAGAGGAAGTAGAGTAAATCAACCTCTCAAACTGTACGTTTTTTATGTAGTTATTAATCTTAAAGAGCCTATATCGGGAAAAAATGGCATTAAAAAAAAAAGTAATGTAATAGGTAAACGCTGTTTAAAAGAAGAATCCCCCAGTCCATACAGTTCATATATGGAAATTAATCTGCGAAAACATGATGTCACAAAAATATCATTTGCATATATCCACCTATTTAGCCTGCAGGTTAACTGCATCCATTCATGTTGAAGTTATAAGGCATTTTTCTGTCTGGGCTGCTTTCTGAGTAAAATAAACACACTTAAAAAAAAATCGCTCTTGAAGGGTTCTTTAGCACAGACAGTGGTTCTTTATAGAAACCTTTGCATAATTAAAGGGTTCTTTGCATCATGAAAGGATTCTTCAGATCGATGGAGAATGTGTTCTATAGTTCTATATAGCACCTTTTTATATAGCATGTTCATAACATTTTCCAAAAGGTCCTATATAGAACCATCTACAGCACATTCTCCATCAATCTAAAGAACCCTTTCATGATGCAAAGAACCCTTCAATCATGCAAAGCAGTTTTCATGTTTCTGTATAGAACTATTGCCTTTCCCAAACAACCCTTGAAGAACCATCTTTCTTAAGTGTGTAGGGTAGCCAATCAAAAAAGAGTTAATTTACATATATTATTCTTAAAGTAATTTAAAAAAAGGTTTCAAGTAAAAATATGCATTGATAAAACTTAGGAAAGTACAAATCCAACAAAAATCAAACTCAAGCAAAGAGAAACTAGTTACTGCCCACTTCTGAGGGGAAGAGTAGATTAAAAGACCACTTTTTTGCCTCAACATTAAAGAGTTTGTCTAGACAGGTCCTTAAAGTTTAGACCATCAAGAAGGGTGCGTTATTAGGAGGAATGAATACTGTTTTCAGGCACTTGGCTGGACAATAAAGCAACGCACCATTAAAGTACAGTGCATGTTACAAAACAGTTGTTCTATTATCTAACAAGTGTTTCCTGACTCCTGTCCTGAGCAGATGCACTGATACAAGTTCTTTTTGCATTCCTGCCAAGAGGCACATGTGATTCATCTCTATTTAAGGTCTAATTACTGTTTTTGTAGTTCAATCAGGTGTGGGTTTTGTTGGGCTACAACAAAAACATGTAATGTACTACAATCACACACTGGAATGCAGATAAAGCCGTATGCAAGTTTTGGTGCTCCTACTCTAATTACATGTTGTGTTGATTTTGCAAGTAAAAATAAGTTAACACACCCCAGTGAAATAAAATGAGACCTGTGCAGACATGTTAAACTTAGCAAATGGACGGTTTGATCAGTTTGATCTCTTTTAGAGTACTAGTGTGTTCTCTGTAGAGGATGTGTTATTTTATTTTCTTATTTCCTTGGAAAATCAGCCAAAGTATGTAGTTTGACTGGGGGTGTTTGATTTTTTTAATATTACTATGTGCTCATAAATGTGTAATAAACCCAAAAAGTTTCATGAGTCATCTGTAAAAAAACAATTGGCCGAAATGGTCATACAGTTGCATTCCTTTGGTGCAAATTCTGAAAAGAAGGTGAATTTATTAAATAAACAATGCCTTAGGTCCTAAATGTACTATGATGTTATAAATCTTGAGACTTATTATTCAGCAACTACTATGAATTATGTAGTAAACACTATGAAATCATGATAAACAGCTATACAAGTAACTGAAGTTTAAACCATGTTTGGACCCTAAAGAACTAAAATAAATATAATAAATAAATAAAATAAATATAAATATAAAAAAAATATAAATATAAATAAAATAAATATAAATATTAATTTGTTTACTTTTAAAATAATAAATAAAATATACAACTTACTAACTTAGTAAAACTAAAATAAATATAAATACAATTTACATGTTTAAAACCATTTTTTCTATATGATTATATAATAATTATAAAAATATTTAATACATGTAATAATATATCAAATTTATAAATATACATACATTTAAAATGAATACTATTGAATTATTTCTAAGATAAATAACATTTAAAAACTTAATAATGCAATAATTCTAAAATAAATATATATTTTTAAATAATAAATAAAACGTATTGCAAGGGAAATATTTCACATAAATTATAAAATATGGAGATACTTGAGCTAAAAAAACAAGTATAAAGAGATTTTTGATAATCCATTTCTACGTTACTCGAGAGGATAGTAACTCTTTCCTCACATCTGCTTTTCAAATAGAGCGTCTGCGTCTGGTTTTGAAATTCTGATATCTGCTAGCCCTATCCTTGCTTTAATATTCAATCGCGACTCAAAAGACCTGATTGAAACCAGGGTAAAACAGGTGCACGATCTCAATGCGAGTTTGATGAGAGTTTCCACGCAGCTGACTCTGGAATCAAAGGGCTGGAAGGCCATTGAGGGAAAAGGTTGAAGGCAGAACCATGGCAACCCAAAGGCCTGTGCAGCAAAATGACAGTCGAGTGCGCAAAGCTGACTAATATGAATGAGCTCACATCACTAATAAAGTCTACTGGCACAGGCCTGTGTCGGCTTTTCTCTGAACGGGGTAGAGAAATCAAACCGCCGGCGCGCTGAGGATCGGGCAAATCCGCTCTCTTTCAAAATCCCCCCTCTCCCTCTCTCTCTCACTCTCTCTCACTCCCTCTCCCTCTACTGAATAAACCCTCCTCCGAAAAAGACTCCTTTTTTTTCCAGCACATCCATAAAACAACTGCTGCACAGCTTCCTTCGCCCTCCAGTCTGCTCTCAGCTCACTCAGATGTATTAGTGACGACTGAAACTAAACAGACATCACACTCGCAGCCCTGCATGTATGAATACTCAGTTTTATGTTGGTTTAACTTCTGCAAAAAGGTTTGACTAAATGCTTTTTCCCTCTCTCTTTCTCCCTCTGAGGAAACAAAACAAAAAAAGAGAGTGATATTTGCAAAATAATTAAGCATTTGTCAGGCTAATTACTTTAACACGCGTGATTATTTGACTGATTGCAAAAAAAAAAAAAAATCTCCAAACTGCTAGCAAAGCTGACGACACCCAGACAAACACTTTTACTCCCAAGTTTCCTTCATAAACATTCAGTTATTTTTTTTTATACTTTTCAATTGTCATTTACTGAAAATCAGCAATATTCCCATAACCAGAATCCAGCTGCTATACTCCATAAAACAATACAGCAAAGAAAATACACCAAATATTCACATATTAAAAGATTTGTGCCCTTTGAGTGCCTAAATGCCTTCTGACTTTATGCACGACGGAAAAAACAAACATATTAGCATTTTAAAGGTTCTTATAAAAGTCTCTTTACAGTAAGAATGTGATGGACATATTCATTTATATGCACATTTTCCCACATAGTGCTTTGAAGGAAGTCTTTTAAATACTTCTTACTTTTTCTTTACCCAGCAAAATATTTTGAAATCTTTGGACGCTTCTCCACTGTGGAAAGTACCAGAATCTTAGACATCAGAAAACTGGAACTGTCTTGTTCCCATTGGCCAACTGAAAGTTCCAGTTCTATGATTTTTAGGTGCTTAAAGCTAGAACAATCAAGACTTAATGGTACTCAGAGGTGTTCTTTTCTGTCTTTGCAGCTGAAGCCAACATTTTAGCCAATTCTTTACTCTTCCGGGTGAAGGTAAAGTTACCAACCACTACACCACGACCGATGCATGCACAAGAATGTAAACTAGAATGGTGTGTTGATTTGTCAATTGCTATTTTCAGAATTATTGCTGTGCAAAGAGTTTGCTAAGGTAATATAAGATGGGAAGCTATCACTAACATCATTCACATGTATGCTATAGCCTTGACAGAATGACTGTTGTTGCTCATTTTCACACAAAAATATAAACTTTTTTGTAAAAAAAACTAAAAAGTGCAGTATATCATTTCATATCAGCCAATAAGCCAAGCTAACTATCTAACTAGCCAAATTAGACACATTAGAGCAGCATAAAATGACCAAACATCCTCACAATTACTGTGATGGTTCCAGTCGTCTCTCAAGCAGGTAGAAAAATGAACTAGAACTAGAACTGTGGGTTAGGTTTGTTTTTGTATGGGTCAGTTCTTGTTTTTGAATGTGCACTGGACAAAGCACCCTCTCTGCATGCTTTTGTATTGTTTGGTTAAGTCTACTTACATTGCTTGGCCTTTTTTAAACACTCTTGATTACTCAATTAAGGGTTAAAATAATTGCTTAATTATCACTAATATATAACCAATAGTGACCACCACTCTAATGTGACCAATGTGGCATCTCTCGAGAAATGCTGGCGTACTCTGAGCAGTGTGACTATAGTCTCTATACAGTGCAGATCTTTGCAGGCTGAATAATTGTCTTTGTTTGCCACCAACGTTGAATACCTACTCCTACACACTTGCGAATGCTTCAAATGATGACAAAACATTATTTGAATTTGTAATAGAGAGAAATGTTTACACTAGATTAGAAGCCTGTCTTGAGGTTAGCTTCAAAGTCAAATTCAAAGTGAAAAACTATAAAATGAAGCCAGCTAATTTGGAAGCTGGAGGCATTGGACCACTCGGGAGAAATCTGCTGTTCACATCACAGGCAGCTGCAAAACAAGCGCAAACATCATTTGCTCCAACCTCTGATTCCGTGGAACTTTCTGAAAGGGTCATATTTGGGTTTATGCACTTTGACAGCAGACTTTTAATGAACATCTACAATATCTCAGATGCAATGGTGGGTCAGAACAAGAGTCCAAGGGGTCACAGCCTTCTAAAAGAGAGGCGTTGAATATTAAAGCAGTGGCTCAGCCAACAAACAAATTTACACAATTTTCCTCTTAACCCAAGAGTAGGCGATCAGCCAAGACATGTTCGGTGTCTGAAGTTTACTTCTTTAGCTTTGCACTGGAGCTACAAGGCTAATGGAGCTAATAAGTAACTCATCAATTAGCTGTGCATTCACCTTTATGGTAATCTCTTCCATATTTGGTAAACAGCTATGAAATTGGAGCTACTATGTTTTCTATAACTGTACCAATAAGCTTCATGGTGCTTTTATTGTTGGATGCACTGTGTTAGTTTCTGAGAGAGAGTGCATAAACACTCAGAACGTAATTCAAATCACTGTGGAAATGCGTATTACTGACTTGTTAAATCACAGCAACAATAAAAGTGCATTTTTTTTTTTATCCATAGCCACCATCTAATAAAACCTTTTTAACCTCTTTCTGCAGTCCCATTGTGGCCACTTCACTGGTGGAATGGAAATTAACTTGGGAATTTTTTAATTAACATAATTAAATGGACTGGCCACTGTTGGCTCTTCTGTGTGAAATGTTGTGTTGAGCTGCTAGTGAGCAGTGAGGGGTGAAAGAGGAGGGGTGAGAACCCCTTGCTGTGAAAACGATTCATACCTTGCCACAAAGATAGTTAAACTGAGATAAAACTGATGACACAACTGCAGATTTCCTCATATCAAACAGTCCTGCAATACCTGACACCATAAAAATAGTGTTCAACCACAATAAAATACTTTTCTAAATGTTGAACTGATTGCTCACCTATGAAGTTGAAAATCTAGTTCATTTTAGCTTTATAAATTACCAATGAGACATGTTTTATTCACTTTATTAAAGAAAAAAAAAATCTTGTAATAAAATACAAATGAAATTGTATTTTATGGCTACTGTGAAAAAGGGTTCATTCAAAGAAGAGTGGCATTGATGTTTAGTTTTGTGCATAACCGTAAAATCTGACCAAAGTGTTCATTTGAAAGTTCAAAATGTTTGCTTATGACACAAAACTAAAAATTTACAAAGTTATGGTTATTTCTTTGTGTATCTAAATAAATGCAACAACAGCTTTGGAGAATCCTGTTATTAATGAAGAAAAGTAGATTAAAAAAGATTTGCTTTGGCTCTAAAGGGTGAAACTGCCAAATCTACATGGTTTTGGTTTCATGTTCTTTTGAAATGAGCTCGAGAGAGAACATTGTAACCTGTATGTAAAAGAGCTTTCAGACCACGCTTTGATAGGTGTCTCAAATCTCACACATAAAGCCTTGTCACCGACTTTTTTCCCTTCAGTATGCCTGATGAAATGACTCACTTATATTATCGGCGGGCACTTTGACCACGGCGGGCTCAATCAGGTTGTCTGCGAGGACAAAGGCCCCTTCCTCCAGGGTATCCAGTAACATGGTGGCGGCGTGCGTTTGCTCCGTGGAATTCATGTCTTGCCAGGACTTCAGGGCTTCCGGCCTCAGGAGGTTGTCCACCGTGTCCACGATGGCCTGTAACCGTGGAAACAAGAGAAATGACAGGCACTTGATATTTGCCGTTTCCCTTTGTGGAGATCAAAAAAAGAAAAAAGGAAAAAGACTTCATACATGAGGCACATGAGGGGGTAACGAGAGCAAATGAAAGTCATGACAAGCAAGTAAAACCATGATTGGGGGTCGGAACGGGGGGAGGGGGTTGAAGAGTGGGTCTTTGGCCCAAACAGGGCTTGGTTTTGTGCCTGGAATTGCACGTGTGTTTGTGTATGTGTGTGTGTTGTGTGTTACCTTTGTCATTTAACCATCACAGGGATTGTTATTGCAAATTGCGGCGGGAAACTAGCCCAATACTTTTCCAAATAAATGGGGCATTCTTCTGCCATTCACTAGGCCAAAGTGGGCCTATTCCTACAAAGCGGCCTGTTTTCCAAGGAACAATTATGATTACATTCCATAACAGGATCTGACCGCAATGCCCTCAGAATGTATGCTTTTTCCTGCGAGGGGGAAAGGGCTTATCGGGCGGCGGGATCTGTTCGCAGAAGCCCGGCGGACTGGAGGGGGGAAAAAAAAATGACGGAGACGTTCACGTTCCCTTTCCCGCTCCTAATCACAATCCTTTCATTTCCTGAGGCCTGGAGCGAGTGCTAACTGAATTAAACAGTTCCAGGGCCATTCCCAACCTTATTTAAACACTGTAGACCAGCTCGCTACACCATACAGTGGGTCCTTATTGCACGGTGTCACTCCAGACTCGCTATTAAAGAAGAAAAGAAGATAGCCTGCCGAGTTTCCACTGAGTGGGCCTCGATCTACTGGAGATAAAACAGAATTGAGATACACACAAGTCAAGATTAGCTATGTCATGGTGACGGCAAGCTCTTCCACCGCTCTGTCACCGCCAATAAGCACAATAACGCTTGCCACTTTACCGCTTTTTATTTCCGCTCTCAGCTGCAATGTGCCCACCATAACCTAGAGACGACTCAGATTAACCTTCCGCCACTGATCGGACCACTTTAGCGCTTTCCCTGGAATACAATACCAGTCAAAAGTTTGGACACCTGATTGGATATCTATTTTTCATAACCTTAAAGACATTTAAATATTTGTTTCTAAGACAAAATGAACTGTGAAGTTGATGTCTATGTACAAATTTATGTTGAGAGTAAAAACAAACAGTTTTCTGCGGTCAGTAAGATATAAACGTTTGTGAAACTTCTTTAAGCTTGTTGGAAAAAAAAACATTTCAGGTGGTTCGTCATGAAGCTGCTTGAAAGAATCTCAAGCAGTGGGGAACTCTTAGGGCCTTCTCGGCCTTTAGAAAAGGCCTAGTGATTTCTAAGAACGAAAAAATACATGTCATTTTTAGCTCATTCTGATTTTATAGAATCTTCATGCTTGTTGTATTTAAGGACTGCAAGAATTGAGGTATTATTTTTTATTTCATTATTCATTTTTGGTGGGAAAGAAAATGATTAAGATCTTGAAATGCCCAGTGGAATCTGCCCAGTCAGAATTTTTTTTACCCCTGTGGTATCTAGGCAGACAGTCAAGAAAGCTCACCTACTGGACTTCAGGATCTGGACAGAAGACCTTACAGGTTAGATCAACTACTGACATAATTAGGAACTGACAGTGGAATCAAACAATCACATATTGATTTGAAAGGGGTGGGATTCATTTCTTGGGAAAAAACTGTCCTTACTGACGGCGAATACGAGCTGCACTTTAACCAGGTTCCATTCAGTTGTTGAAAACAGTTGTGAGAGCTGTATAGTAGGGCTCTTTACTGAAAGAATTACTGTAAAAATGTGACATGTAAAGGTTTAAATGTCATTTACAGGCTATAAATGTCCATGTGTAATCTAGAATGGCCAAAAAGATTTATGTGCACCAGAGTTAGCTTAGCACAAACATAATATTAGAAATCCAATAGGGGTGCACAGGTGTTTTTTTCTCATTTCTTTGACTGTTTCAATGTTTATGTCTCTAACAATAAAGGCCACGCTCTAATAGTCATGGTTCTTCACTGATGTAAAGCTGCATCATGGCAAATAGGGCTAAATGGTCACTAGATAATTTCATATGCGTTGTTCTATATCTGATGATTTCTCTATTATTCTTTGTGTAATAATAATAAAAATATAGAAAACCCTGTCACAGTGTATCCAGACCTTTGAGTGGTTCTGTAACTGTTTCACATTAGTTCATCTTTAAGCTCTTTACGGGTTGAATCAAATACATTGAAGCTGGGAGAAACACTGCTGTGCAGTTTGATACTGTATTCCCTGGATCTGCACCAGAAAACAACCTGTACTGCACTATCACTAACAGCAGCAACTGCACTGTTGACAAACAAAAAGTCACACCAGCACTTTTATACCGTCAGCACAATGTAACAGTAGCCACAGCGGTAATGAGCTAACTGTGTTTTAGTATCATCTGGCAAAACAATACAAACCATCGACTGTGCACTCTAGACCCAGCCATGGCTTTATTTATTTTGGTAGTGGTGGGCATGACCAATCTAGCTGTTGATTAAACTGCATGATTAAACTGTGCTCTGAATAGCGCTCTCAAGTCAAAGGAATTGCTTGCAATAACAAAAGCATAGTGTAATCTTATATTAACTATTTCTCATTGAAACAAGTGGGGAGATTACATTGAAATGCAGATTCTAAACTTTCTGTATCATGTTTGTGTTTTTAAGTAGACAAAGAGATTTTATTATGACTTCAGTCTGATGAAAAGTTACTGCTGTGTACAGTTTGTGTGGAAGGAAAATCATCCTTTACATGTTTTTTTCATCATTTTTGCCATTTCTTGACATCAAAACAAGCAAAAAAAAAATCTACTGATAAAGAATATAACTTATGTAATGTAATGTAATGTAAATACATTTGGTCCTATTTTATTTGAATAGTCCCCATAAATACGCTACAGATATTGACAAAAAGTGTTAGGGTTAGGGTTAGGGTTAGGACCAGGGTTAGGGTTAGGACTAGGTTCTGGGTTGAGAATAAGATTAGAGTGAATGTTAGGTCTGTGGATAGAAAAAGCTGAGGAGCTTAAATGCAAGTTAAAGGTGTGGTACGCATCTACTAAACATCTACAGGGGGCTATCCATATAAAGTGTAACATTTAAATAGGTGATATGATATAAATCTAATGTATAGCAAATTGACAATAACTCTAAAGTTCATTTCTGGGCAGAGGTCATTAAAGACTGCTCTGAATTTAAGCACACCTGTGGCAGACGAGCTGGATATTCTGCATGAGAACTGAGCGCTCAGGGCGTTCTTAATTTGAGACTGGTTTTGTCAATGCTAAAACAGGCGTTTGAATGGAGAGGGACTTTGAAAAAGGCGGATCATAGCGCACACTCGAGGAAGTTGGCACGTGAAACAGCCCGACGTTGGCCTATTTCTCTTGGCAGACAAAAAGGAGGAGGTAAAAAAAAGAAGAAAAAAAAAACGCTTTATCACATAAATAAACCCCAGTCAAAAAAGAGCCTCACGTGGCAGCAGGCTGGGAGTTTTCCAGCAGAGTGTGTTGAAAAGAATGCACCCTGGTGCAAAACAGGTATTTGAGGGAGGGACATATATCGGATATAAACACAAATGCACTAATGGAGAAAATGACTCCATCACACGATGGCGTGTGACCTCCAGCATCCGGGAGGTAGGAGTGGTGGAAGTTGACGAAGGTGAAAAAGTGAGCCGCTTTGATCAAACCACTGGCACTCAAAAGGGGGGGTGCAATTACATCTGTAGGAAAGGCAATTACTCATACAATACTCAAGTGCTGAGGGACGGAGGAGGTGCAAAGGAGGAGAAAAGTAGGAGAGGGAGCAAGAGAAGGAGGAGAATGCATGAGAAAGAAGGAAGAAAAACAGGTGAGCACAGAGAGAGCGGGGAGATATAGAAAATTAGGGAGACTGTAAGAGAAGCAAGAGGGCGAGAAATACAGAGAGACACAGAGAGAGAGGAGAGAGAGTGAAGAAAGAGCTAGAGTATGAAAGTAGTGAGGAGAGCGCGAAGGCATGGGGGGGAGGGGAAAGAGATGAAAGGTAAAGGAGGAAGAGCATGCAAGGGAGTAGAGAGAGAGTGAGCGAGAGAGAGAGAGAGAGAGAGAGAGAGAGAAGGAGAGAGGGAGAGAGGGAGGCAGTGGGGAAGGGAAAAGAAAAGAGCAGCAGCCAGGCAGACAAAGGCAGAGACGCTAACAAGTGCCTAAAGAATTAGTCAGAATCCAGCAGAGAGCGTCCCGCAGACACGCAGACAGAAACACAGACAGACACACAGCCGGCCAGACAGACAACCAGACAGACGGAGAAGCTGCATGCAGCGAAGCGGGGTAACAGGAAGCAGGATGCAGCGTGTATGTACCTTCATATAGGCCCTGCATGTCTTCTCTCGCTTTTGACGCTTATTTAGAGAAACAAGAGCACACACACATACAGAGAAAGAGGAAAGGTCAGGATACACTCTGAGGCCTGACAGATACATTGCTGGAGGCTAAAACTGGCCATGGATATATCGATATTGTCAACAAATGCAGCATCCTGTTTTATATAGTAATAATAAGATGCCTGTAATGTCTTATGAAAAAGTCTGGGTTGCCTTTACCCAGATGGTTCATGTCCTCTATAAGGAACAAACTTAAATATGACATTTTCTGCAAATTTTAGTGCTCAATTCCAAACATATTGAAAAAAATTAAACATAAAACATAAAATGTGCCATAACTATTTGCACAGGCCACATTTTATTCTATCCTGTGTGGATGTGTAACTTATTCTCACTTAGAAAACAAACATAACATAATTTGACCAGGGGCGCTCAAACCTTTGCATATGACTATCTATAGATGGTTTACTTTAGTTACAGATTAAAACTGATTAATCTGAACACAAATCACCATCATGGTTAAAACAACAGAACTATGTTATTGACTGCATAACAATAACACAATATAACACAAGTACCTTTATGTGAAAAGACCTAATCAAAGATGAGAAACTAACAGAGCTAATTCACAAAAAACACTAAGAACTACGAGAAGCTCCGCCTTCTGTGATGTAATATTTATGTTTTTTAATACTTTGAGAGTGTCTGCTGTTTAAGTTTAATACATGTGACAAGTGAGCATTAACAGTCATATTTGACCTTATTTCACAACTAGTACTGGACAGTATACCAGTTCATCCTATACATCCTATTAAAATTTGTCTTAAATGATTAGTGGTCATGACCAGCATGTTCAAAATTAGCACAGATACTGCAACATTCAAACAGTGCAAAATATGCTAGGTTAGCCTGGCTAGCCAGGGATGTTTCAGTAAAACTTGTAAAAAAATATATATTAAAAAGTTAAGGAACTTTCAGAATAATAAGTCACTGTTAACCTACAAAAACAGCTTTACTTAAGGCCAGTATGAATTGTAGTCATCATCTAGTAACTGGTTTGGCTAATCAATTCTTATAGTATATATATATATATAAAAGTCAGTCAGGCCGCAAGGAATCATTTAACTATATAGCTCCATGCTGACATTTTCACTGTTGATCTGCTGCTGCTCAAACTGTTTGAACATGCTAAATGCAAGAATGAAAGAAACAAACAGCATCTTGAATCATCATTTCTCATTTTCATTACTATTGTTAAATTATTTGTAATATCTTAAATTTTGACACTTTATTGTTTCTTTGGTCCAAATATTTTCAGTTGTTTTTATCTTTCAAGTGCCACTTTGGACCATTTTTGGCCAAAAATTTCCGATACTTGCAATTTTGGTGCTTCCCTAGAAACTATTGTCTGTTTTATTTTTAAATATGATATGGCTGTTATTATCAGTTTTCAGAAGTTTTAGCTCCTTAATATCAGTATTGGTGGCATAATTTTCCTATCAGTCAGGCCGTGATGTTCACACTCATCCTCATCCACACACATTTACACACACAAGTTTGTCTTACATTACATGTGAGGACTTCCATTGATTTTTGTATAACTGTAGCCAAGAAATACTACACCAACACCTAAACCCTAAGCTTAACCTCATTCTTCAAAAGGCAATCGTTGTGCTCTTTCAGATTTTCCAAAAAAATGAATTCATGGTGAAAACGGCACATGCCCAAGTAAAGACCAGCAAAAAGGTCCTTATACAAAATCGTATGATGTCCTCACACACAGACACACAAGGTTAGAAATTAGAGGTTAGTAGAGTTTATACAGGTCCTGAATGTGTTTCCTTCTTTTGACACTTATTTAGAAAACAAAAGCACACACGCATACACAGACTGCGTTAGAAGGGTTCACATAGGCACAGTGCATCTTTTCTCATGTTTTGATGCTTGGATCCAAAGATAAAAGCCCACACGCACACAAACAAGTACAGAGAAACAGAAAAGACCAAGAATAATACACACACAAACACACACATACATACATACCACCCTTCCTCACATACACACACACAGTTATAAGACATAAGAGCGTATGAAACCGGCGGCTGCATCATCAAAGGAACATCAAGGTGCCACATTCCGGCACACACTCGTGTGGTTTGGAGTGTGTAATCAGAGCATCAGCACGGCCGGCCGAAGCCGAGCAGAAATGGAAGCAGCCTGGCCAGCCCATTTCCCCCGCTTCAATTAAAAGTGTCTTTGGAATACATCACCAGCTTACATAACTAAAACACCAGCACTGCTGAATCGCACACGGAGAGAGAGAGCAAGGAAAAAAAAAACACGGAGATGCAAGTAGTGGACCGTGCATTCAAATGAAGCCCGAAAATCCATTAAACTCAATCCATTGAGCTGGAGGAGGTCATTTGTATTTGATGGTCAGGATAATTGTGCTATCTGGCGATATGATCGTTTTCGGGCTCGCTCCATCAAAACAAAGTGCCCTTCTCTTTTTTCCTCTCTCTCTCTCTCTCTCTCTCTCTGACTTTCTGTCTCTCTCTCTTTCTTTCTATAGATTTTGCAAGTATAAGGACATTCACTGGCTAATAGGTTCACTCCAGACCAATCCTGCAGAGGTGCGGTGTGCAGAAGAAGAAAGGAAAACTTGCCCTGCCTTTGAAAAAAAAATTCCTTCACAAAATTACACCTACTTCATTTCCTTTACTCCAGACCGGCGCTTTCAGCAGTGAGAGCGGAGCACTGAGAGCCGGCCTTGAGGCCGTATGAGTCTGTCATTTTTTTTTCCCATTCTCTGCTAAGCCCACCACCATCCAATCCTTCATGTTGGATATCTGTGGCCTCTTGGGCTCCTGTAGAGCTTCTCCTGTGAAAATATCTCCCTCTGCCACACAGCCCGGCCAGAGCCGCGTCCAGGAGGGCAATTATGCTCCTGAAGGGGCCGCCGCTCCTTCCCTCTGCTTTTTTTAAGACGGTTCCTGGCCATTAGCGGGCAGCTTTTTACATCTGCGGCAGCAGGTGAGTCGGATGCGCTAACGCTGTAATTACAGGGGAGGTGAGCTGGAGCAGAATCAGTGGGGGGCTTGAAGAAGAAGAAGCCCTGGGGCCACAGGGGCCTGCTATAATTCCTACAGGCAGAGGCAGGCAAGAGGGAGTGGTCTTCTCCAGTGGAAAGAGAAAGAAAGCCTTCTCAAAAGAGAGAGAAGAAAAGGGATTCTGCTTTTTTCTGAAAAAGTCAAACAAGCACGGGTTGGGTCATTGTTCAGGGAATCCAGGCGGCCTGGCTGAATTCCGCAGTGGCAGGAAAATGAGCTTTGGGAACCGCAGGGGCAATTGGGATCAGGAAATCCACAAATTCCGAATTGTATAGGGCTCCAGGGTTCCATAAGGGTTGGTAGGTGTTGTGAATGGGGCTTAGCCACACAGAGGCAAGCAGGAACTGTTCTGCACCCAAACATCACGCTACCATGCAGAAGCGCATGGGGAGCCAACGCACTTTTTTGAAATGTACAAATTTGATTTAAAATTGACTTTTCAATTGGATTCACCTGGATTCAGTTGAATTGGGAAGGATTTGTTAACATATAACAGCTATCCTTTGGGTGTATTCTTGCTTGGTATTTTGCCCAAAATAATGATTTGACAGCTTTCTTTTCCAAACTATTGTTAAACGTAAAAATTCAAATTGTCCCAAATATGGCCCAAAAACCTGGAAGGTTTGAGTACTGATGAGTGCTGACATCACAACAAGGGCATAAAACACACCAGGTTTGGCATTATTCCTGAAATAGTACTGTCACTATTACTACCACAGATACTTACATGTGTGAAAAATCATTCATTTCTATCAAAGGCATTTTAGAAAGCAAGTTGTCCCCAAAATTTTAATACTTAAACAGAAATTCCTCTATATAGTAACTTAAGGTCCATCATCAATGCCCAAAAAACATTTGAACACTGAAAATAAAATTAGCAGAACTCAAAACTATAAAACTGCAATGAAATGCATCTACAAGTAATACTAAGAGAGGCTGAAATATGGGAAATAGTCATATAGTCATAATATGACTAGATACCCTTTAACATTATTGTACAAGGACAACGCGGAACATTTTCACTTATTCATAAAACCCATAGGCTGTAGGTTGTTTTGTTGCAATTATGCTTGTGTACCTTGTTAAAGCTGCGTCCGGCCGAGTCCTTCTCGCTGGGCCTGAGCTCCTGAAGCTGAGCATCCAGAATGTCCACCAGCTGCTCCATGAGCCGGACGGAAGAGCTGACATCTCCCGCGAACACGGGGCCCTGTGTGTGTCGGGCCAGTTCATTGGCCAGATTTGCCGCGTTCTCTCCACTCCGGATCTGACCCAATTTAGAACCAAATGTGTGATTACGGGGACACAAATTACAGGTTGGGTAAATGAGGGGGTTTGGAACGGGGGAAGTGGGAAGCCATGTTGATAAACTTTGTGACAATTTGCAACACAAACTTGGCCTGAGGAGTAAATCTCTGGTGTGTAACAGACTGAAGGTTAAATAAATACTTGTTGGCGTCAAATAACAGAGCAAGCTCCCATTTAGAATGCCTGAATTAAATGTTTTTAAAAAGCTGTTGCAAAAGGAAACCTTGCTGTTTTATGCATAAATACAAATAATATGTTTAATACATGTCATTATAGGCAATATTAAATCCTTTTACAATTTTCAATTCATTGGTTGTTAAAGCAGACTGTAATTTTATATGAATATGACTATATGTAGGTTATATGTCCATATGAATTTTGCATTATATAATGTAGATTCCACAGTCTACATCATTACCTAAACAACATTTTGATAGGAATGCTGTGTTTAGAGAAATACTCAATGTTTGCAAGTGCACTGGTGGGGTTTAGCCCTATAACTCAATAACAATAACAAAACTAGCTGTGATTTTGTACTTATTATTTCTGACTTGTAGTTCAATTCTTTGCCAATTCTTGTCAAAATTCTTTTCAAAAACCATTTTTGTTCTTTTTTGACATTGAAACCAAAGGAAAATGCCATAAATGCAGAATAGAAAAACAATATAACTGGTATCAATATTTTAAAAAATCATTTAAAAATTTTTTAAATATTACTACATGAAAGATGCACAGAAAAAAAAAAACGTTACTGACCTTTTGTGCCACCTGAGTGACCCAGTGGGAAGTGCAGTTGCTGAGATCTGGCCCTTTTGGGTTCCAGGTGCCACTTGTGGCTGTGCAGAGGAACGAGGCAATACCTGACCATGAAGAAGCAGAGAGAGAGAGAGGGTGAAGAGGAGCAAAAATAACACAGTCACTGTCCAAACCCACCGTCTAAACTACTGTTTCAAAGCCAATCCCCTCCAAAAAATGTCCGTTGAAATCAAATGAACAGTCAAAGGTGCATCATGCAATCCAGTGTTTCCCAGCTCCAGCCATAGAGTCTACTCAGCACTGGACAGTCTTCCTGTTCTAACCTGTTTAACTCAGTGACTTGATTATTAGTTACTGTCATTACATTTCATTTGCATTACATTTATACATTTGGTAGACGCTTGTATTGAGAGTACTTTACAAATTAATCATGTTACAGATTTATGCACAAGCATTAGTAATTTTCAGTGTTATCCAATAGCTGTTGCGCTATACTAACCCCTAGAAATGTTGCCGATAATGCTCAAATAGTTGACAACCTTTTTGACCATGGCATCTCTGGGGTCCTGGAATTTGTATTCACTGATAGATATGACACTAGGTGGCCAATTAGCCACAGTTTAGTTAACTACGAGTGATTTCAAAATCCAGGACTGGAAACTGGACTGAAAGGTCTGAAATTTAAAGCCTCTGTCTTAGACAGTTAGGCCACTGAAGAACAGGTGCAGGAAAATACAAAACTGCACAGTGTGCAGGGGGGGGTGCCAAGAATTGAGAAACACTAGCCTAATCTACTGACAAGCTGTCACAGCAACATACAAACCCCCCACTCTAGCCTGGACAAAAACACAGCAAATCACTAGTGTTAAATGAAGTCCTACAGTGTTAAATGGACACCTGCGAAGCTAATTCCAGCCTCGGTGGTATATGGTGGCCTCAAGTGAAATCAGAAGAAGTAAATGTAACATTTTTTTTCACATTTCTTCTTACATAAGTCTCTCTCTCTCACACACACACACATACACACCTTTGGTTCCTTTTGGACATGGTCGCTCCACAGTCACCCCCCTGTGTGTCTGTGGCCAGACGATGTCCCTGATCTCTGTGCTCTCACAGAAGCGTCTGCTGGAGGGGGGAAGGCTGGAAATTGTGGGGTCCATGGTCCCGGGATGCTCCATGACCGGATCCAACACCCCCTTGCCCTGCCTGGGGTCCGCTGTGGCTGTCACATCAGCATTGCCCCGATGTGTGCTGCTGGTGGTGCTGCTGATAGTAGTTGTGGTCCGTCTGGGGAACATGGTGGACACCACATTGTCTGGCACCGTCGACACTGCAAGACAAGAGTGTTAGCAATCACTGTTATTCACTGTTAATAACTGTTCACATACAACTTAAAAGTTAGCATGGTCAGAACACACCTTCAGGCATGCCAAACGTGTGCATCAAGGTAAAGGGGGGCAATTTTAAAGAATCTAAAATATAAGATTTGTTTAGCACTTTTTGTGGTTACTAAATTCCTTATGAGCTATTTGCTAGTTTTTAATGATTTCAAAATGCAGAGAATACAAAAACTAAGATAAACCATTTGTCTTATTTTTAGGTGCCTAAAATATCTGGCTAAAATGTGAGTGCTGCTCCAACAGCAGTGCATCATGGGAAGACGCACAGCTTGTGCCAAATGCAAGTAGATGGCAGTGGCTATGGTGATAGTGAAAGTGAAGCTGATGGATGACACTAGCAGAAAGCAGTCATTTTCTGGCATAGTAGACCCACTGTCAGAAAATCTTTGCATATTCTTGCATGTAGCACAAGTGAGCATACATGATAGCCCACAGTCTGCTGTGGAATTTGGCAAAGAATCATCTTGCACAGTGAAATGCTATGAACATATAACACTACTGTTTTCACACAGTTTGCAGCAAATTAGTGCCATTGAGAAGCACTTGCCCGTTGTAATAGACCAAAGGTCTTCAAATCCAGGCCTTGAATCCAGTTTCCAGTCCTAGATTTTGTAATCGCTCATAGTTAACTAACTGTTGATTTAACTAAATGGCCACCAAGTGCCATGCCTACCACTGATTACAAAATATAGGAACCCAAACTAGATTTTAATGTCTGGATTTAAAGGCCTCTGCAAAAGACAATCAGAGCTTTTTCTTTTTTCTTTTCCCATGAAACACTGACGTCCTCAGCCTTTCTTCTGAAATATATCAAGTCAACAAATGTTTAGTGTATAAACCACTGTGTCTTGTTCTCTGATGATGGCAAACTTCCCTTTTGATAATGATTTGTGTAAACTGCACTGGAGGTCTTCATGTGGCCGTTCCTTTCTCAGATGTTGCGCTAATTCAAAGCAGAATGGCATTGCCACTGTCCAGAACGCGCTGTTTCTTTTTGTCTCCACCACAAAGCTGATGGCCATGCAAATATTTAACTACACCAGCCTTTCATCCCCTGTACCACATTGTGCCCAGAACTCAGGAAAGGGACATGAAATTCTGAAGCCTTATTCTGCTTGGACATCATTCCCTTCTCTGGAGCCATTTGGTTCTCTGAATGTCAGTGGCGAGAGACAAAACCAAGCTTTTATTTTATTTTTCTCCAATTCCATCTCTTCTCCTCTCTCCCTCCATCTCTCCTTCCCTCCATCACCCCCCTCAGCCAAATTCTTTGATAAAGTGAATCTGAGGAAGCTAAAAATGCAAAGTCCTTGGGAAAAAATCCTGCGCATCACAGCAGAGATAAGAAGGTTTTGACGCCGTTCAGTCTGACATATTTAAGAGAATTTGTGATGAAGTGTGCAGCTTATATTTCAAATAACACACACACATGCACCCTCAAACCCGTCTCTTCTCAAAGAAAAGAAAGAAAAGGAAATGGCTCCACGCAGCTGGGCGCCAAGCCATGTTTGCTTCGTTCATGTATGTTTGAGTGTTTGAGAGAACACTTCTGTTGGGGACGTTAACCGTGCTGAAGCACGCTGCTAGGATAATGCCAGCAGAAGTGTAAATGTGTTTGTGGGTTGGCTGATTGCAGCTAAAGCCACTTGATCACTCAGATCATGCTGGCTAAAGCGCAGTGAGGGCCAACGGAATGGATAACTCGCTGTGGAAGGCGGGGAGCGATTTTGGAGGGAAGGGCCGTTTCGCATTTACGGCAACCCATCATCGGACACGGATCTCCATTTCCTCCGAGCCAATGCACACGCTGGGCCAGCGTCCAAGCCGCCAATCTGGAACATCTTTTCTTTTGTTCCTTTATTCCGGCCAAATATGCAGTTCATTATGCCCCCCAAGTCCCTCCCCCATCTTCCCTCCCTATCACCCCTGCAGCAGCTCCACTTTTTTTGCCTGAAAATGGAAAGTAAGCTGGAACACAGTGACCCACTGGGCTGAAACAGTTACTGCTTGTAACATCCTGACACTCTACTGATTATTTGAGTGATTAGTGCAACCAAGTAAGACTGAAACAGTAGGTAGATACTCATTCATGCACTCCCTTCACTTAATCAGTCCCTTCCTCTCTCCATACTCACCATCTTGTCTTCTCGGACAGAAACAGCATTACACATTTCACATTCTTAACATCAGTGGATGACAATCGATGTCTGTCCACTTTGGAGTATGCATACTCTGCTATATCAACTGCCAACGGTAACCTGCTGAACTCACCACTGAATGTAACATGCAAAGCTATAGCAAAGTCCATATAAAAAGAGAATAAGCATAAACATAAGCTGTGTGTGGGATAAAAATGCATTGTAATGTGCTTTTAAACCTAGTAATGGTGTTGCACAAAATCCTTTCCTGCATCTCAGCTTTCCAAAACAATCACAAATGATACAAAGCACAAATTCATCAAACAAAGATGTTATCAAGTGGCTTCATGTGAGCCCAAGTCAAGCCTCGAGTCAGTGAGGTTCGAGTGTAGGTCGAGTCTCGTCTTTAGTAGAGAATCTGGCTTTAGTCTCGTTATTTGTTGCAGGTATTGCACTGTACAAAAATAAACCCTTACTAACAACCTGACAAGGTTTGGCAAAACAGCTTGAAATAGTTTAGGCTGTAGTTCGTATAGCAATGATGCTAGTTTGCTAGTGTAATAGTTAATCTAGCTAAAGTTTTAGTATGTTTTAAAGAAATGTGATCTGCAACTTACTAAAACTTCAGCTAAATTAGCTACAACAGCTACAGTGGTTACTGTGCTAGCTAGTATACTTGCCATCCAAGCTAACCAACTATTTCCAGTTGTTCTCTTTCCTGTAAAAGCTGCATTTAATGCAAGTAGAGCTTCATTCTGTCTATCCAACTGAAGGCTTTTTCTGTAATGAAAGGCTAATTATTTGAAGCTGTATCAAACCGCTCAATTCCACTGTGAGATGCAGGAAGACGGCATTGTAGTAATGACTGAGGCTGAAATTTCATGAGTCTTAAGTCTCAAGTCCGAGTCAAGTTGCAAGTCAAGTAAGGGCGAGTCCTACTTAAATTTCGAGTCAGTCAAAATGTGACAAGTCCCCATCTCTAGTCGCTAGCATTCAGAAAATTGAGTTAAAAAATAACAAAATTTTGGGAAGAGGATCAAAAAGGAAAGTTCCTCCCACTTCCAATCTCTAATTTTTGTTTACTGTGAAGTTCTCATCTTCACTTTCAGTCCCTTAGAATAGACCTGTTTTCATAAAAAGGCCAGCCTTATAGGTTATAGAAGAACATGCCCAGAACTCTAGCTCAAGTTCTTAGAGTTCTCTGCCCCTAGTTTATAGTCTCTTTTCATTCTACAAGCATGTGGTATGGGCCAAACTCATAACCTATACAATAGCAAATATGTTTGGAAAGGTCTGAAAATCCACATTGGACTCAAGACTAGATGAAAGGAACAGAGCCTGTGTCACAGTCTCTCATGAATAGTGTTTCTCAACCCAGTCTTTGGGACCCACCAGATGGTTCACATTTTTCCTCTAACCTAGCTCCCAGCACTCCTGTACTAGGTTCAGTTCAGTGTTCTTAATGGCTTGATACAGGCGCTTTGGGAGCTGGAAAAGAGCAAAAATCTGGTGGCCCTCAGGGACTACATTGAAAAACACTGCTTCAGAGGCTCACCAATGCTAATCTAGTATACTAAAATCTCCTGATCTCCATCTGGCATAACTACATCTTCCATATTCCCATCGCTTGTCCAAACAGACAACAACTCAGGGGCACTATCCGGCAATGTCCCACTGCAGGCTTGAACATGAGGCCATTTATAACCTTACAACATCTCAAACAAACACCTGACTGACCATCACCTTGTGAGCACAAACAAAAAGTCCTATTCTCCTGTGAGAGCAGCAGATACCGCAGACAACTCGCTGACAAGCAAACATTAATATCATTGAATGACCTGTCATGCGCCTATCTGACCCTTTCAGCCAATCCAAATGAAGATCACGGAACGCCTCTCAAACCCAAAGCCACCTCTGGCCCTTCTTCTCAGCTTCCATTGAATTTTCTCTTTGCGTTGTCTACTTAAATGGTCTACTTCAGCCCTAAAGCCTGAGGAAAAGGGAAAAAAAGAAGTAGTGGGGGGAGCAGGGGGTGGCCAAGCAAGCGAGGTAAAGCGCCTGTCAGTGACCTAGCCTGCCTCACTGTTTCTTTTGACATCTCCTGTCTCGCAGCTCTACAATTTTCTTTTGATTATGCCGAACAATTTCACAGGCGGGCAGAAAGGAGGAATCTTAGGGCGTCATCTAGCAGCACTCCGCCAGAAAACGAGGCTCAATTAGCTGTCATTTCAAGAGCTGGTGAAGTCACTCTCCGTGGAAGAATCAGAAATCAAGGACATATAGTCCATCAGAGGCAAAGACCACTCAGCAACAGACGAACATTAGCAATAACACGAGCAGCGGGGTGAGTAGGCACGCCGCATGCTGCGCTGACGAGTGGAATGAAAGCAAGTAAAGGTGGAGCACTGAGCAGGGCATATAGGTTATCATTCATCTGCATAAAAGCTTAAGCGGACTTACCAAAGGCTGAAGCAAAAACAACACTGTCAAACCACTGTTAGCGCTAAAATAACATCCGAGTTCTCGCTCGATTTCTTTGGGCTCGAAGCGAGTTCCTATACACAAAATGCAAATTTCATTTGCCCACTCTGTTTGTCCGAAAGTTCCTTCCATCTCGAGTTCCCAGATGGCTGCCTTGTGAAGGAAGGCACAAAAGCAAGTTATTAAATGTGTGTGGAAACAGGCTGGCTGCGAGACAACAGGATAATAAAGGAGGGATCAGTGTGTGTATGTTTAGTCTGGATGAAGCAAATGATGCCCGAGTTCCTTAAGCAGCTACCAGATTTCAGCGG